TTTGGCCCCCTTCTCCCTTAGGATGCTGCCCCAAGCTCTAAGCTTGTCCCTTGACAGCCTTTGAACATAGACTCAACATCTCTGTAAACTCCAAGTTGAAGTTCCTAAATAGCTCCGATTAAATAACCTGCTTGGTTTTGCTTTATGACCCCATAGCAACACACTGGGTTTTATTTAGGAAGAATTCAGAAACAGACATTAAGCTGGTCAGGATCTCACATTTCTGTGGGCTGTAGATTCCAGGAGGAGCAGCAGTGATGGTAGATAGGTCAGTTTTCCCCTTGTACAAATTGCTCCTCTTTATGCTTATAACTGATATTCTCCACCATGTGTGTGGTTGTACTAGGTTCACATTGACAAAATTAATCTTAATTCACAGTCTGTTTTGCTCACATTGCCCCATAGGATTTTGGTATAATCAGAGTTCATAATGCTTTAAGTGTTCTTGGGATGCCTCACAGGTGCTTCCAAGTGTGAGTTGCCAGATTTGCAGCAAGTTATTTGGGAATGGGCATTTTCTACAGGATGCTGTCTTTGGAGATTACTGTAGAACCTTATTTGAGCCAGGATCTCTACAATCTTGCTCTGGTCTCTGAAGCTGCTGTCTTTTCCAAGAGCCTCACTTGTTTGTGAAGATGCCGTTCCATGTATGAGCAGAGTAATTCCTGCTTGTGGTAGCCAGTGTTGTCACTGAGTTATATTCTTCATTCTGCAATTTAAATTCTACCCTTGTGCACACACACTTCTCGATACACTTTTGTAGTTCATTCATAGGCTTAAGCTTGAGGACTCAATGTTAGTATTTTTTATTTTGTTTTGTCTGGTTATTATTAGTAACTTTTGCCTTTACAGAACCTCTCACAGGGCTGAGTTATTCTTCCACTGAGCAAACCAAGTACTCTAATAATTCCATATGATTCTCTTTATGGTCTCAAGACCCTAGCTAATGGGTTCTCATCACATTATCTCAGACTATTTAGTTAGGTAATTTGTAGACTATAATACTTGTTTTTCCAACCAGTGCAAAGATTCAGAAGTAGCATAGAATAAGAAATAGTATTCTAGAAAATTAGAAAATCTGATGGTTATTTTTAAATTGTCATGAAACCAGCCTTTAAAAGTTTATGGGCTCATTCTATAGTATTCACTGGCTTCACTGGCTTAGAAGTCACCTTCCAAGATATTGTCAAGACAGAAATAAGTAATGCAGGTAATGGTCTCAACTCTGGTTACATACTATATACTATCCTGGAGTATATCAAATACCTGTTTTGTGAATGAATTTTAATGGTACAATTCCAACCGCGTTGGTTTATGTATTGTCCACAACACAGAAAACCTAATATGTTTCCTAGTTGTCTCTCAGCAGAAAATTGTATTAGAGTTCTCATAGAGCTACTTTAAATTAGTTGCCTGTATTCCATCATAGAGAATTCAGGATTTGGGGTAGATTTATATTTAGAAATTACAATTACATCATTTTTATTCCTTTCCCCAGCCAACCCATTTCATTCAAATTCTTGTCTCCTCTCAGATTTTTGTCTCTATCTATCTATCTATCTATCTATCTATCTATCTATCTACCTATCTACACACACACATATATATGTGTGTGTGTGCATAGGTATATATATGCATGTATTTTAGAATGTGTGATATATATGAATATACATTGAATATATAACATATACCACACAGCATGCATTACACTGTGTAGTATATAGTATATATATAGGATATAGTCACACAATAAATATATATGAATATTTTTTAAATATAACATTCTCAGTCTGTATAATGTTACTTGCATGTATATAATCTCAGATCTGACAAATTGGTAATGGATAATTAATTGGGAGATCATAAATAAACTTCTTGGTGGATCTTCCTCAGGGAAAACTATTTCTCCTAATCTTGACATCCCTGTATTTCTTGAAGACAATATATACTTGGATTTTGTATCTTGATCCATTCAGTCATTTTGTGTCTTTTGACAGAATAATTAAGAGTGCTAATATTTAAAATTATTATTGAAAATTGTGTGTTGATTACAGTCATGTGTTCTTGGTGTTGCTTTGTGTTTCAGGGATTATTGCTTCGGTTTTATTTCTACAGACTCTGCTATGCTCATTCTTTTCTTCAGCATCAAATATTGCTTTCTGAGTTTTTTGTTTTTTAGATTTGGTCTGTTGGATAAAATTATTTTAGGTATTTTGTACTATGAAAAGTTTTGTTTTCCTCCTTCATATCAGATAGTTTGCTGAGCATATTAATCTAGTTTGGCTGTCATGGTCTTTTTTCTAGCCTCTTCTGGATTTCAAAGTTGTCATTGAAAAACCATCTGTTTTTCTAAATGGTTTTCCTTTGTAAGTGCTTGTGCCTTTCCTTGCAATTTTCAATATTTTTTATTTGTTATGTGTGCTTAGTGTTTTAACAATGAATACACCATACACAGTTTCTATTCTGGTCTTGGCTACTTGGTGTTCTATGTTCTTCTTGACTCTGTATAGGTATGTCTTTCCTTAGCCTGGAGAAATTTTCTTCTATGATCTTGTTTAAGATCTGATTTAGGACACTGACCTGGAATTATTCTCCTTCATCTATTCTTGTAATGTAATGGGGTCTGTTTATTGGGTCCCATATTTCTTGTATGTTTCTTTTCTGTGTTTTTAATAAAAATTCATATTTTGTTTATTTTGACTAGATCCTGCGATTTAGCTTCACATCCTGGCATTTCATCTTCTGCTTGCTTCATTGTACTTGTAAGGTGTTCCCTTAAGTTTTCTAATTGAGTTATTGAGCTTTTAAATTTCATCTTTGCTTCAGCTTGAGTCCTTTTTCATCTTTCTATCTCTTTATTGAATTTGGAGTAGAGTTACTGCCTTGATGTCTCATATTGTTTGAATTTGTGAAATGAAATTTGAATATGTGAACTTCTTATGCTAGTTCTATGCCTTATATGATTAGATCAAGTGTGGTTAGAACACAGGATGTGTGGACCAGGTTGGGCAGAAATGTTGTGTATGACTTAGGTAGAATAAAATCAGGTTGACACAGACTGGCTGGCATTCAGGCTATGAATCTTGGTCTGGTCCTAGAGTTTGTAGGTATGGTGTTTGGGGTGGGGGGGAGACGAGTAGAGAAAGGACTAGGCAGATCGACCCTGGGGAAGAATATGCAGGATCTGTCTGGGAGGAAATGTTCAGTGTGCTATGAAGGGGACCTGTTGGTTTTATGAAGGAATAGAAATACCAGAGGAAGTCTAGAGCTTGGTATAGACAGGGGTGGCCAGACCAGGCCAAAGCACTGAGTGTAAGACTTGGACTAGATCTGGGGATTTGGAGAGGTTGCAGGAGGGGATGATCAGATAGGTAAACCCTGGTAAAGGATGCTTAAAATCTGACATGGTGGAGAGACTCACCTAGTGTTTATAATTTTTACCTGATGCATTAATGCAAAGGAATTATGCATATTAATAATATATCAAGTAATAATTTATATATGAATTCATTATATAATAATTAAATTGGGTTGAATGTTTATATTTTCAAATAGTTATTTTCTTTGTGGTAAAAATTTTCAACAAAATTTATATTTCTTAAATTTTATTGTCATCAGTAGGGATATACAGTGAAGCAAGCCAATAGAATTCCTTTGTCCTCTCTAACTATAGCATTAATCCATTGACCAACACTTTCTGGACCCTCTGAATGTGACTGACAATTGGGGCAGACTGAGAAACTAATGATAATGGCACTGGGATTTGTCTCTACTGAATGTACTGACTTTTTGGGATCCTAGTCTATTTGGATGCACACCTTCCTTAGCCTGGATGTAGCGAGGGGGGGGGGGGGGGACTTGGACTTCCCACAGGGCAGAGTTCCCTGCCCTCTCTTAGGACTGGACGGGGGCGGGGGGGTGAGTAGGGGAGCAGGAGGGTAAGGAGAAGAGGGGAGGAAGTGGAAATTTTGGATGATATTATTTATAAAGCAATGAAAAATAAATAAAAAACCACTTTCTTACTCCTCCCAGTTTTGCCTGATAACTCCATTACGTTCTCAACTTTTCTTGATTCCTTTATCTTTTTGTCCCGGATTCATTCCATTTTCCCAGCCATGGGGATTGGCGGTGCATGCCTGCACTCTAGCTTTTACACAGTGCTGTGCCTAGAACTTAGTTCCTTGTGTTTGTGCGCCAGGTACCTTCTTACCTGAGCCTTCTCCTCAGTTCAAAGTAAAGGATATCAGCAGCAAGTATTTGACACGTGCTTTATGTTCCATGTAAAGCAGGTACAATTAAATAAGGAGGTTTATTGTTAACATTCACCTTCTTCACCCCTGCTTATTGTGCTTATCATCTCTAAGCTTTTATACTTAAAGTAAGAATTAACATGTATGATCTCCCATTTTATATTCTAGTACTTCATAATTTCTCTTCTGATTCTGGTCTCCATACTGTAATCCTGTCTGCATTCAGACACTTAGTAGGGTAGCTATTGCTCTGTTAGTAGCTCTAATAAACTGCTGTTCTTGGATTCTCACTTTCCAGTGAAGTCCGTCACGTTCTGTGTGCAGCGAATACTTTACTTACTTCCTCCAAGGGCTCCCCAAGGTGCACAGAACAGCCAGTGAGTCAAAGGCAACAGTTGCTCGGCTCACTGACTAAGATTTCAAGATGCTCTGGCAGCCTGATTTACTCTTTCTGACTCATTTTATCAAACACGATTAGATGAATGCACTAAGGATTTCAAAAGCTGTTCTTAACGATATAAGTCAAAACTGGCAGGCCCTTTTGAAACTGCAGTAGAAAACGCTGATAAAAGCTAACATGCTTTCCATCCTGTGAACATCAAACATTCTTATTAAAGGAGCTATTTTTGAATGCTCTTTCAAAATGCAGTTCAATTAGTTGCTATTCCTCTCTTCTTGACAAAAATAAAATTATTGGAAAATTCTGGAGTATTGGCCACCATTGACCTTGGACCTACTTTTCCTTTGTAGACATTGACGAGTGTGCTGAAGGGCGCCACTACTGCCGCGAGAACACCATGTGTGTGAACACACCTGGCTCTTTTATGTGCATCTGTAAAACTGGGTACATCAGGATCGATGATTACTCATGTACAGGTAAGTGCTGCCTACTCGAAAGAGTATTTCCTGTCTTGGGTTTGTTTGTTCTTAAATTTCTAAGAAGTATGTCATAAATGTTTCCTCATAACAAAAAAATAAAGTGGAAACCATTGCATCTTGATTTGGCATTTAGCTGTGATTCTTCCCTGAAGAAGAGAGTATTTGCTATTGCATGAACTTTACTCGGGAGACATGAAGAAATGTTTACTAAGTCTTTTAGGGCATTAGCAACAGACCAGGTTATAGTTACAGCTAAGTCTTGCTTAGGGAACCTGTGAGTTTATTTGGCCTATTAAAGCATGATTGAACGGTTATGCACCTGAGCGTGGGTGATCCTAAAACAGCTAGATCACTGAGAAGTCTCACTGCAGCACGCATGTTCCTTGTGGCTGTATAGATAAAACTCTTTCTCAGCTACAATTTCACACTCATACACTTTGGCACCTCCCAAGAGAAGCTGTACGTAACTCTGCATCTGGAATAGAAGTATATAAAGCTAGAATGGGGGTACAGAAAAGACTGGCTGGATTATCAGGCATGGATCTAGTGACTTGCCTGACAACTCTTATAAGGGAACCCCAAGAGACCTAATCTTGAGGGTCTCTAGCCTCACACACAGCTTCTCTGAGTGAGATAGCAATGGATGCTGTTCTTGAAGGGAGTCAATGACACTCTTCCTTCAGCTCGTACATTTTTCTGCCCTTTTTTCCATGATGATCTGAGTCTTAAAGGGAATGATATAGATATTTTGCTATTTTCTTTGCTTATGGGCATTGGGACATGGTGCTACAACAAAAAAGAATAATTTATTTCTGGAATTTGATAAACTAAATGTGTGTACACTAACCACCATTTACCGCAGGAAGCGTCTCTGCTCCTCTGACCAAGACTGACAGCCACAATAATCCTATCGACATAAACACCAATGTTTCAGGAGCAATTTGTTTGTTTATTTATTTATTTATTTATTAAAGATTTCTGCCTCCTCCCCTCCTCTGCCTCCCATATCCCTCCCCCTCCCCCAATCAAGTCCCCCTCCCTCATCAGCCCAAAGAGCAGTAGGGGTTCCCTGCCTTGTGGGAAGTCCAAGGACCACTCACCTCCTTTGAGGTCTAGTAAGGTGAGCATCCAAACTGCCTAGGCTCCCACAAAGCCAGTATGCATGCAGTAGGATCAAAACCCAGTGTCATTGATCTTGACTTCTCAGCAGTCCTCATTGTCCTCTATGTTCAGCCAGTCCGGTTTTATCCCATGCTTTTTCAGACATTGAGCCTATAATTCGTGATCCTAGAGAAGCTAAATAAGAAGGTGAACCCAAAGAAAGACATATAGTCATCCTCCTTTAAGGAGCAATTTGATAGTAACATCATAGTCATTAAACATAAAAAAGTAGCAATAATATCTACAAACAAACAAACAAACAACAACTATGAAAACGTAGAATCTTCCCGACTCTGGCCTATAACTCCCTAGACGTGGGTGGCTTGTCACTGGATTTACCCTGCCAGGTGTGAATTTGTTCCTGTAGGAATTTGAACAAAACTTAAATCCATACAGAATATAGTTGCTTACACTCTTAGCACTCATGCCGTTCTAATACCAAATGGCTCCCTTTCCTGTTATGCTGACAACATAGCACAAAGATCCAGAGTGAGGTTGGTCCATTGGCGTTGGTTCTCTCCCAGCAGTCCCGGCACTAGGTGAGCTACTCAGCAAGGCAGACACTTATGACTCAGTCCTCCTTGGTGTCTCCATATCCCACATCCAGAGTATACAGTATTTTCAGCAGTCCGGTCTCACCCTTTAGTTCTAGCAGTGAACCAACAGCCATGTTGAGATGGTCCATATTGCTTGGGGAGTCTTGGGGCTCCCAGGCCAACAGGTGATGGGCAGGCAGCTCACCCCAGCAATGAATTTCATGGCTTCTGGGGGTATTCTTTGTCCTATTACACAAGTTTCTTTCTTTACCTTTTAGTTATTGTAACTAACTGGTGTATGGTTTTCTTTTCCGCATATCTGTACCTTACCTTACAATGTTCTGAAGAATGTTATAATGGTCATTGTAGTTGTTCATTGGCATCATAACTGGGGAGAACTGTTGCTTGTGTCATTTTGGAAGCTTTCATTGTGCCTTCTGGTACCATGGAGGTATTACTCATAGAGGAGATATTCAGGTGAGTTTCAGCTCGGCGTGCCTTGGGCTCTGTGTCAGAAATGCATGGTATTTTCAACAATAGGTACCTCCCACCTCTGGTGTCTGCCAAGAGTAATAGCAACATGTCATATGCTTTGGGAGCCTCTTGTACCAGCCTGACCAACAACTCAAAGACAGCTCCTTCTGTCTGGTGTTGGGGTTTTTGTTAGGTGATCTTTGGCACATGGAGGGGGCATTGGTAGTGATGTTTTCAAACAGAGGGATGGCAACATCTCTGAATACTCACTGCCACCCAGTCCAAGAAAGAAACAGTTGGAGTCACCAAACCATATCATTTTAGCCTTCGACTGTCTGCTGTCCCCATGTGCTGGCTTTGAGGCCAGCATGAAGGATAACATTTTTCATATCTTTTTTCTGATTGCAATTTTTATCTGGTAAAGTTCTTTTTGGACAGAGAGTCCAGCCTCAATTGCATAACTTAACACCCTAAGTAGGGACATTGTAAGAGTGACTTCTGCCACTCCCTTACAGTCCTGACCCCTTTCAGATTCAGCATGCTCTTTGGTTCATCTTTGAGTCTCAGGATGCCCCCTTGTGCCATTGGCAGATTGCATTCATTAAAGATTCACATTACCTCCTAAGACACAGAAAAAATGTGCCCCATAGGGATTTTTCCCACAGATTTTTCATGTTAGACAACTCATCCTTAGTTGCATGTCTTACCACTTGTATCGGAAACACCATGGCTACTAAATATATTAAGAAGAAACACCATTCTCTACTGTGTAGAGAAGGACAATATGGATATCCCCACTGACGCTCTAGCCTCAGACTGCTGAGCTTCATCCCCCACAGCAGGGACAATGAAGCTCTTTCTTCCAGTTTCTCCTTTGACTCTGCCATGTTCCCATATTGTACTGAAATTTTACTGGTCCATGCACACAAATATCTACTAACCCAGGGGAATGGAAGCAATAGAAAAAAGCAACATTTACATCCAAGTCTAGCTTGGTTCACTAGGCTTACTTACCGCAGTAAAGATGAGGGGTTACCTACAGAAGCATAGCTGTGTTAGTGAAAAATCTCACCCCAACTTAGATGATGATTTTCCCTTGGCAACATAGATAGCGTCTCAGTTGAGGTTACCTTCATACTTTATACAAACTATCACGTCCTGAGACCTATCTGGGGCAGATGAAGGAAGTGCCTGGAAGCTCAGGTGACAGTCTATCCCTTCTGATGGAGGAGCCTCAGGAGACCCAAGCTTGTGGGTGTCCTGTGGGTGTCACTGCTGATGGGGGAGCCTCAGCAGACCCAAGCTTGTGGGTATCCTGTGGGTGTCACTGCTGCTCTAATGAAGACAGCCATGACTGTAATGTTCAGGGGACACGGTCGACAGCACCTGGTTGCTCAGGAGAGCTTTTATGCTCCATATTAGGAAGTGAAAAGCTGAAGAATCAAGTCAAGATTATGCTAAGTATATACTTAAACGTTTTTCTTTCTCAAGTCTTGTGTGAATTACTAAGGCCACTTGAAGAAACAGCCCCTAATTGAGACTTTTTGTAGTGGAAGAACAATTGCATACACATTTTGTGATGGTTTTCTTCAGTGTCTGAGAGGCAGGAAAGCTGCCATCAGCAGCTTCCATACCTTGGTGAGAGACAGTGAGCTTCCCTTGATGGGTCCCTTATACCTTGGTGAGAGACAGTGAGTTTACTTTGACGTGTCCCTTATGCTGGTTTTCTAAAATGTCTTTCTCTTCAGTATCACGCCAAGGCCTGCTCAGGGATGCCGTGAGTATGTTTGTAATATCTGATGCTAGTCTGTGGATTACTATACCTGCATATGAAAACAAATGGTGCAAGATTAGCTTTCCCACCACAGGGCCGGAGGGAAGGTGAAAATGAATGAGACTTTCTTTTGGAGTCTACCTTGTGATCAGATGATTCATAAAAGTAGCAAAAGTAGCTAAAATCATAAAGTTGGACGGCACCTGAAAACGTGTTCTTGTCTTCTAATCTCTCCCCCAATTGCATATTCTTCATTAGATAAAATGAGGGTATCCATAATTCATAGACTTTCCAGAGAAGAGGAGTCTACCATAGTCCTTGGCAAAAAATCTGAATCTATAATAGGAAAGATATTCTCTAATACTTCTGACTAATGTGTCATTTCATGTATTTGTCCACCCAACGTTGTTACTACAGTGATCACACTGTGCACAAAATGCTATTCTACATGCCAGAGCAGAGGGAGCTCATCCTTGAAATCAAATTGTTTGCATAAAACACAGATGAAAAGTGACGTCTCTTCCCATGGGACATAACTAAATACATCTCGCAGGTACAAAGGTGTTTAAGAGACAGGACAATGGGTTTGCAAATTCCTGTTCTTTGGTCAGTCCAACCTAAACATTTACAAATGATGGGAACAAGTTCCCTTTTCCTTAGTTAAACTGTTAAGCAGAGCAAGTTGTGAAGCATTTTGAAAGAGATGGTTTTTAACATAAAAATAATACATCAGAAGTCCCTGTAAATAATGGGGAATAGAGCTCACACCTTACTATATTAATGATGTCAATAAATATGAATTTCATGTTAATATTTAACCAGAAAAACTAAGATCCAACCTGCTGCATCTAAGAGAGTACGGCTGAAGATGGTTTGGTTTGGTTTGGTTTGTTTTTCAAGATAGGGTTTCTCTGTGTAACAGATATCACTGTCTTGGAACTACCTCTTGTAGACTAGGGTGGCCTTTAACTCACAAAGATAAGCCTTCCTCTGCCTCCTGAGTGCTGGGATCAAAGGCTTGTGCTACCACTGCCCAGAGTCAAAGATGTACT